AAATGTTATTTTAAAAGGGGGTTTCATATTCTTGCCATCGCAAAATTTCTAAGGAAAAACTGCATTGGCCACACATAACACTAACTAGATTTTGATCTGAGTTTTTAAAGCGCGGTTTTGTAGACAAATTTGTAACATATATGTGTGTTCGCTAATATGTTTAGCATCAATTTTTAGTTATCGGTTCAGTTCTGTTATTTCTTTTGTTTTTATTTTGGTTCCGGCTCGGTTTTTGTTTGGTTCAAAAGATATAGAGATCGTCCGGTTATTAATGAATTTGGGTTTGGTTTTGGTTTTGTTATTTTGATTTTTGATTTAGTTCATATAACAATGTTAGGAACATGATTAAATTTTGAGTTCAATTTGATTCATGTTTGGTTCCCGTTAATTTTGAATAATTCGGATAAAAATCAGATTTTAGGATATTTTATGAAATAGCGAATAAGGCATATTTTAAAATATTTTGCGGTGATTCGATTCTATGGGTAATTAGGATAATTTTAAATATTTCAGATAAAAGTAATACAATAATCTGTTTTGGTAGTTCGGTTGAAAAAACAAATTTTAGATTATTTGTTATTTATTACAATATAATTAATCTTTTTGATGTTTTAAATTATATTTTATGATAGTTCGTTTTCCGTTTGGTTCGATTTGATTTCATTTTTATTTTCAAGAGATATAAGAAATGTTTGGATATACTTAAAAAGATGCTACTTATTTCTTATGTTCTAACAATCTTTGCTAAAACAGTATTCGAGTTTTAATATTAACGATATAAATTTAGATCTGCTCCCACTTATTTTCAAAATATTTAACTTTCCCCCTTTTAATGCGATAGCTTTAATCGTAGTCTTGTTTTGTTAAAGTAGTTGGACGGTGAACAAATTTAGGACTATTTAGTGGATATTTCACCATTTTGAGTGTACCCAATCGATACGCAACATTATATAGTATAGGTTCACAACATATAATAGTTTTTGGACTTATGATACGATGTAATTTTTGTAGAAAAAACAAAATTAATATGAAGCAATCGTTATAATTAAAATTCACCCCACGCATGTGCGAGGGTTATCAACTAGTATAATAGTAAAATTGTTGAAAAATGTCAGTGGCAAAAGTTGTAAATATTAAGATAAATTAAGAATAGTTTTCTATTTGTATTTCACTTTTAATAGATTAGATAAGAAACATCCACATACCATGACAGAGTCGTTGTGGTAAAAAGAGCGCCTAGATTGTTGAGATGTTGGTAGCCAAATGATCTTTGCTTTTATGTTCTAGTGATTGTGTTAAACATGCATGTTCTTTTCCAGACTGGCTAAGAAAAAGAGATCATAACCAACTTCTATAAAATGTTAGATTAAGGACGAAGAAATGAGTATCTTGTCAGGGAATGCTGGTTATGATCTCTTTTTCTAATCCAGTCTCTATAATCCTAAAGAGATATGAATGTGATAACCAGGGCCGGATTCGAATATTTACTAAAAAAACCAACATCACCATAGTTTCTTCTAGAGTGTAAAATTGTCAGAGAACCAAGAAAAAAAAATTAACTCATCGGTAACTTTTAAAGTGATGGTGTATACTGATGGTACAGCACAAAATCGGCATACGTTATTATAATAAAAAAAGTCTAACATCGGAAGTTTAGACAAGAAGATTATAATATATAAAGAGAAATATAATTCTAATAGTATGAGATCTTTTGGGAAGGAAACCAAAAGTAAATACATGCAGACTTATTTATTAGGCTCAAAGTGAACAATATCGTACTAATCGGATAATAAAGAGTTGGACATAAGCTTTCAGAATTCCAACAATTAGGTATCAGAGCGGTTTGACAAAGATTTGCAAGAAGACAAAAATTCCCTTTAAGATATAAATGGGGATCCTTCAAGTAGAAAGCGGAGGTCGTGGCATAAACTGTTAGAAGATCATGAAACCTGTGATGTTGTGGAAAAACATTCTCAAAGGAAACCCTAAGATTACTGGTGGAGCCAGATGATTCGCTAAAGGAAAAACACAAAGAGATGAATGTGGTCTTTAGTTTAAGGGGAAAAATGTGAGATAATAAACAAAGTCCCACATCGGAAGTTTAGAAAAGAAGATTCTAATATATAAAGGGAAATATAACTTTAATAGTACGAGACCTTTTGGGAAGAAAACCAAAAGTAAATCCATACGGGCTTGTCAATTAGATCTAAAGTGGACAATATTGTACTAATCAGAGAATATAGAGTTGGACATGAGCTTTCACAATTCCAACACTGATGGTACAACACAAAATCGACGTACGTTATTATAATTTTGTTCGTGAATAAGAATAAATATGAGATTCCTTAAAGCTGGATACAAAATCAATGGCCGGGCAAGGTTGTTGGATAATTCCAAATTAACTTACGGAGAAAGTTAACTTATTAAAAGAGAATTTAGTAAGTTAAGGAAAAAAAACATATCGAGATTAGGAATGTTTCTATATTATTATTAGGTTAAGAAGTAGCTTCGACCTATATAAGGAGTTGCAGAGATGTTGCATCCCTTAAGAGAAACACCAGAAACGCATTGATTTAGTTTTGAGAGAGTTTCTAAATCTAATAAGAAGAGTAGTTCTTATAATTTGTGTGTTCTTGCAACTTTAATTGGTATCAAAGCTTAAGTTGAAGCTTTGATATAAGCTTGAGTTGAAGCGAAGATCCTGGTGACTGTGAAGTAGACATCACGAAGGCAAGATGGATGACGTGATTAGGGCTCCATGCACGAAGGACTTTGGATCCGCACCATCCAATGTCTGATCTTGTCATCGACAAACTATACAGTTTAGTCGATGAGGATGAAGGTGTTACTTCGTGTTCATGAAGTGTGGGACGCGATCAAATCCGGTTCGGATGATCAAAAGAAGAATGATGTGGCAACTGCTCTTTTGTTTCAATCCGCTACTAAAACTTTGATTCTCCAGGTTATATTTATATAAGCATCTTGAAGTTTCTGGTTCGAATGATCAAAAGAAGAACGGCGCGATATATTTTATTAAATCATAGTAAAAAATAATTTCTATTTCTATTTTCATAAGTACATCAAACATAAAATATTTATATAAGCATCTTGAAGATTTCTCTTTCTTATATAGTTCATTTTTGGAATAATTTAAATACAAGAAAACAATGACATATTATTTATATAATAAATTTATTTATTTTAAAATTATAATCAACTATCACATAATTTACCAATAATTATTAATGAATTTATAAGTAATTTACAAGTAACAAGTAATAAAATAAATCAAGTAACTAACAAGTTCGTCATTTTTTTTGCAAGTACTTGTTTTTAGCAAACCAAATACAAGTCAAAATATTCACTACTCGTACAAGCCAAGCCGAATACTAAATATACCAAAAATACTGTGTATTCGACTTGTGCCCACCCCTAGTTACACCCTTAAATATAACATTGACAGTCACTTCTCTATCTAACAATGTGCACATCAAAGTTTATTCTCGATCTGATCAAGTTCAATCACACAGTTTACCAAAACAAGTTCAATCAAAGTCAATTATCTTATATATTAAAACAGAAGTCACAACTTTGATTCATGTGTGATTTTTAGAAAAATGAACTATTTCTTAGAAAGATTATGAAGATTATCAAATGTTATATAATTTAATGATAATATCTTTAAATATCTTTATTTTTCTATTTGAAACACAAATGAAATAAATCCAACAAAATCTTTTTGGCATCTTTTTAAATTGTCTTTCCATAATATTACCCATATGTTTATCTTTTATTTGAAATACAAATTTTTTTTCTTTAAGATATTAAAATTTATGTAGATTGCACTATATATTCCTAAATCGTAAATAAAAAAAATACTATATACTAGATTTTGACCCACACAATTTATTTTTCATTTTATAAATATAGCACTTTGATATTATTATAAAAAAATTTAATATATTATTACATTTAATGTTATATATTATATACCTCTATAATTTTGTTGTTTAAGTTTCTTATTCGTCATTATTAATATATAGTAATTTTTTATATATTTTAATTTATATTCTTATTGATTGTTATTACTTACTAATATATTTTTGAGTTTGCTACATAAATTATAATCTGAAATAATTAAAATATAATCTTCTATGATATAGAATTTTAGTTTCTGCAATTCGTATACAATATATTTTAATATTTATTTAGATATACTATAGATAAATATTTGTTAATGATAATTTATATTTTAATGTTGTCTTAAATATGATACTTCAACATCTATTATTTTAATATTTTGTGAAATTTTATAAGTAAATATATTATTATTTATTGATAATTTTTTTATAAACTATAAGTAAAAAGATAATCCGCACGGTTGTGCGGGTCAAGATCTAGTTAATAGTTGTTTTAGAACATTTTCATAGTTAATAAAATGGAGGCTAGCAGAAAATTAAGTTGTTCCTTTTAAATGAAAGTAACATTAACAAAATGGTATATATTTATGTAAATAAATAAAAATTTAAAAATTTAACAGAATTATAAAAATCAATTCACCGGTTATCTTATAGGAGAGACAAAGATTAACAAAACAAGAAAATCCCAGCTCTTGCGCGGGGCTCAGCTTCTAGTTGAAAATAATAAATGAATGTGCAGGAGGTGATGGCAACAGCACAATTCATGCATATATTCGCTCTCGAAACCACTCGGTACTTCCATCTCATGTCATTACAACTAGAGCTTCATACAAACCTAAAGAAATCAAAAGTTTGCTGTGTAAGAGGCAGACAATATCTGAATATTCAATCTCTAAAATATTAAGTTTAAATGGTGCACATGAATGTATCCACCAGTGGTACGTTAATATCATAAGCTTCGGTGAGCTGTAGGGAGACATTGCAGAAACATTATTGAACCAACAATTTAATTAAGATTCCAAATGTCTCACTTCTCTAAAGGGGTGTATATATATGTAATCACCAGAGAGCAATGAAGACATGACAAACATTTTCTATCACTCTAAGCCTTCTCTCAATCTGAAACAAGAAAGCAAAGCTAAACCAGAAGAAATGGCATTTTCTTTCCATGTTCGTTCTAACAGCTTCCCTTCAAGGCAGCACCCTCAAGCCGCTTATGTCGATGAGCAATTAAACCGATTGAGATCTTCAGAGACAGCTTCTTCATCTTCTATCTGCCGAAGACTTAGCAACCTTCAAGATTTACATGATGCTCTTGACAAGATGCTTAGATTGTCCATCACTCAACAAACTTTATCTCAAGAGCAAGTTGAGATGATTCTTGATGGATCTATCAAGATCTTAGATTTATGCAACTTTTCCAAAGACGGTTTATCACAAATGAAAGAGAGTCTCAAGGAGATCCAATCTATCTTAAGAAGAAAGCGTGGAGATTTATCAGCTGAGATCAAGAAATACTTGGCTTCTAGAAAGTTTCTCAAGAAATCATTCCAGAAAGTACTCAAGAGTTTGAAAACGTGCCAAAACAAAAACAAAGAGTCTTTGGCGGTGTTTGGAGAAGCAGAAGCTGTAACAGTTGATTTATTTGAATCTCTGTTTAGCTTCATGTCTGGACCAAAATCTTGTGGCAAATGGTCAATGGTCTCAAAGATTATGAGCCAGAACAAAGCTGCATGTGAAGCTGAAGAAAATGAATTCACAAGAGTGGACTTGGAGTGCCAATCAGAAAAGTCCTTGAAGATCGAAGATGTGCAGAATTTAGATTTATGCATTCAAGATCTTGAAGATGGGATTGAGTCACTCTCTAAATCATTGATCAAATATAGAGTATCAATTCTTAACATTTAATAGGTCATTGTGCCCACAAACTTTTGTACAAATAGGAGATGTAATAGTTAACTAACTCAAAAGTAATACAAGAATCTTTCATATGATTAAATTTTATCCATGCTTTGTTAATTCTCCACATAGGAACACAATATCTTAAAGAAAACAGTAAACTTCAATATCATATCATATGCCATCTATGTACTTTCACATGTTCTTCAATACTTTAAAAATTCTGAACCATGTTACTTATGAATTAAATCTTTTTCTAATCTCATTTCTTATGCTTCTTCACATGCCTTTAATCAACTAATGCGGATCTTGTCTATTAATTCATCATGCATCCATAGTTTAATATATTTCTTTATTTATTAATTTTAGACTTTCTCTGTTATATATATATATATATATATATATATATATATATATATATATATATACTCTGTAATGCCTTGTTTTGCTTCGTTTTGTATTGTTATTCTGTATTATCAACTTGTTAATCTTTTCTGGTCCATTAGTTTTAACCCTAGTGTAAAAAAATTCTGATGAAACTTGGTTGTGACTTCGTGCTGGAGATAAAGTCATCATTCTTCTTTTTTTTTTTTTTTTTTTTTTTT